ACACGAACAATTGTTAACACTTTCAATTTATTTTAACCGCTATAAACAGCCACACTAAAAACTGAAACTGCTGTATCAGACAAAAAAGAGTGTGCATGGTCATGGTTCCAAAACCAAAAAGTCTCGAGTTCGAACCCTCGTGAAATTGAGGCTTGCTAGCTGGGGACAGCCACTCTTCTAGGAGAGACAACATTACAGGTCTATTTATTTGGTAGGGCGGTGGCATTGTTTTTACAAGATTTTATTTAATTCACTTACTCTGTCTGTCGTCAGTCGTCAGTCTGTCTAGATCGAAGCGCCCGAGCAAAATTACCGGCCCTAATAACTGACAGATACGGTTCGTTTTTGGCACGTGGGTAAAGACATGAAAACAATGCAACAAGACATTAAATTTGACTTAATTGGATGCCTAATTAATTTTTTATGAAATAATTAATATTTTGACCAAATTAGTAGATAGTTCTATCCAACTAATCTACACGCATCATCACGTTCAATAGCGCGTCATCACGTTCAATAGGTGCGCAATGTTTTTTTAGTCATGTAACTCTATTGTAAATAAAAACATGTAAAGTACTAAACTATTTTTCATAAAAACACGTTTCAATAATAAGCTTTTATGTAATAATGCACTAAAAAAGAGAATGGAAATTATAGACTACTATTTAAAGAACTATGAAGAAAAGCGTGTGTCTCTTCCTAAATATTAGTAAAGGTATCCAACAGATGCTAAAGTGACCCACGCTTTTCTTTATAGTTATTTATATAGTAGTGTAAAATTTATTTCCCTCGTTTTTAGTGTATTATTACATAAAAGCTTGTTATCAAAACGTTTTTTATGATTTTTTTTACAAACTTTTATTTAACTCACTTCCTCTCTCTGTCGTCAGTAGTCAGTCTATCTAGATCGAAACGCCAAAGCGAAATTACTGGCACTTCTAAGTGACAAATACGGTTCGTAGTTGGCACGTGGGTCAAGACGTGAAGACAATGCAGCATGACAATAAATTTGACTTAATTGGATGCGTAATTTTTATGAGTTATTTTAAATTTTGACGAAATTAGTAGGCAGTTCGTTTGGTTTCTTATTAGAGAATCTGCACTATGTGTAGAGCTGTAAAATAGTATTTAGGTAGAGAACAATTTTCGTTTTTAGACTGACTGTTAATTACAAATTTTTCAAACTGGGTTTGGATGGGGGTGGGCTTTTCACGGACAGGAATATCTATATATAGAATTGGGAGAATGGGGCTCCAAGTCGATAGTCAAACCCGGGCGACGGAATAGGTCACTACGCCTCTGGCTAATCATTTAAGTAATGAGATTAGGGGCTGCTAAAAATAACTGCCTTGAAAGTCGTGAGTTTAAGTAGCTGACCTGTGAATTCATCAACATAAATTACAAAACGATTTAAAATTTAAAAGTTTAGAAATAAAGTCTACAACCTTATTTTTGCTTTAGAATAAACACTGTGAAAAAAACGAAGAGGCATTTTATGTAATCTAAACTATATAATGTTTCTATTTAATTTTAGTCGAATAACCATCATTAGGTGTTTTTACTTTTCATATTTAAATATAGAGGAAATGTTATTAAAATGGAATAATTTTTTTATAACATTCAGGCTGCTTATAATATTTAAAATATGATTTTTCTTTAACCTCATATTTTTTCAGCTCTACTTTTAAGCCCAAACCCTCTCAACCCATTAGCCATTGGAAAAGAATCCCTTGAATCACCATTTAATTACACATTTGCATTTTCAGGTTTAAAAATACATTTATGAAGTATTACTATTGTAAATTTGTATCAGTCCTCACAAGCCGATGATGAAAACTGTAATACTAAGTAAACACGTCTAATATGTCTGAGGCAAACAAAATATAAAGGAAGTGTTGTAATAGTTTATATAAATTAAATGAAATTTTGATATATTTTTCGTTTCACACCTTCCTACTTTTTTTTGTAAACGAAATACAAAGGATGTATTGTAATGGTGCAAAAATCTAAATCGAGATCTTGACAAATTTTGACGTTTAATAACCTTTCGGAGACGGAAAATATAATTTTTATACAATCCTATGTGTGTGTGTCGCTCTCTCTCTCTCTATAAAAAGGATAAGTGCCGTTTTATTTATGTCAACGAAATTTCATAAGCAAGCTTTTTTTTTTCTCTCATCTTTTGAGTGATTTCCGGAAAACCGTTATTGATCATTATTGTACTTTCGGTATTCCAAAAGCCCATAATTTGATTACCATTTACGTTAAGTGGACCAAACTTAACATATATAATTATTCGATTGTATGTGCATGCCTCTATCAATGTTTGAATGGTTTCGTATAACCGGAAGTGCCATTTAACCCTATTTATGTAAGGAACACGATAACTTAAGTACACTTTCAGTGTGGTTGGCGAAATTTTAGGGCTTACAAAATCAGTAAACAAATTAGTAAACACAATGACGTTTTAATTTAAGAGGTTTTGAGATTTTTTTCCCTTAAATTAAATACAACCATCACCATTTTTATTGGTTTAAACATTACACAATCTTGTGTGCGTATCACGGCCGCAATTTTCTGATAGGCCTACGAATGCAAAAAGTGCCTAGGCCAAACAAAGATCATGAAACGACCCTGCACCCCACCCAATTAATTACTTCCTAAGATCAATTTCCCACCTGTACTTATCCTCGCCGAGTTGCAGTAGGACATCACCTCAAATCAATTACTCACCCATCAATTTTAGAGAGATGGGGGGGGGGGGTAGTTCAAGAAATAGGTTACGTATAGATTATAGATTATAGGTATAGGTATTTGAATATGTTAGTTTATGTTTATGTTTATGGTTATGCTTATGCTCATGTTTATGTTTCTTGTATGTTTGTATTTATGTTTTTAAGTTGTAGTGAGTATTATGGTATATGTTTGTGTTTATGTTTGAGTTTGAGGCTATGTTTTCTGAATGTGGTTTTTTAGGCGTAGAAGTGTGAGGAGTGGAAAGATTTATGCCTATATCTGTTTGTTTATGTTTGTGGTTGAGGTTGGTTGTGATAGAGTTAGGCTTAGAGTTAGGTTTAGGATCATATATGTTTTCTAAAATGTCGTTATTTGCATTTAGATATTAATTACTACCATAATCCTTGGCAGCGCCGGGTTTATGCTGCTTAAAAAGCATACAATTAGAGGTTCTTTATAGAGATTTTTTTTACTAAAGCCACTGCTGATTCGGACCGGGAAAGCTAATTCTAGTTTAAGAATTAGATTAAAAAAAATTAATGAAAACATTTCATTTATCCGACTGCATCCCCGATACTGTTTGGGGAGATTACAGCCAAGTTTTTATATTATGTTATTCTTTGTATGTAAGTAAAGTAAACTTTCCCTTTGAGACCTGACGGTCTATAAGGCAAGTGAAGTAGAGTTTACTTGTTTCTGTGACCTCGGCATATGAAGAGATAGTGTGGTCAGCACTATGCCCAGCCGCCTTTACTTTCCCTAACGTGAGTTAGGTACCCAGCAGAGTTGGGTGGACTCAGGGACAGTCTGCTGACTTGAACCCGGATTCGAACTCGAGACCTACGGGTTAGTACTCCAGCTCTTCACCGCTAAACCACTCCGTCCCATTTTTTTTGTGTGTAACTATTTTCAATTTTTTTAATTGGTAGAATTTATTGTAAAAAAAAAAAGAAAACAAAAAACATCACAATGTTATTTTCTAACGTTAGTAGTAGGTAAAAAAATTATATTTCTCACCTTCAGACACGAAGGTAAAAGCGACTACCAAAATCAGAAACAAGCTTGCAGATAATTTCATCTTTTTCAACTGTTGTTCTTACTGTAATCTCGACCGACCTCCTTGAGTGTGATCTAATGTTCAACAGGTGTCGACCTTCAGTACTCTATCTCAAGGTAATCCTCACAACAGGACGTGCGTGTTAGGAAAGGCTAGTGCTATTTTTAGGACACGGATTACATGGATCGGGGATGTTTTGAATGTTATTAAAATTCTAAAGACATTCAATTTTTTAAAAATCTGTCAGTGTGTGTATGTGTGTGTGTGTGTGTGTGTGTGAGGCATTCAGTCAGTTAGTCTTTCTGACTGTCTGTCTGTCCGTCAGTGCTCTCTATTTTTCTTTCTCTCCGTTTGTTTTTCAATGTTAAACCTATCGACCTAGAACCTAATTTAAAATTTAATGTCAATTCCTAATCTCTTGGATATAATTGGTTTAAAAATGGATTTAGAAATCATTCACCTTGGTAATTTCAAACACAATTTGTAGTTGACAAATTAAAAGTTCGATTGTGCAGGGGCGCTAGGTACGGTTTAACTTGATTTCTCGTGCTTAACACTTCTTTGTGTATTGTTTATGGGTCGATATGAAGCTTTCATTGATATATATATATATATATATATATATATATATATATATATATATATATATATATATATATATATATATATATATATATATATACTTTTAGTATAACTAATTAAATGTGTTAAAGCCAACATATATCTTTGAGGTTTTTAAAAATCTTTTTATTAATCTAATAAAACATCACATATACAAGAATAATTGTGAAAACTTCGAGTATATTTAATTTGGTCTTGATTCTAATGTAGCGTAATATAACTCTTACACGATCCATAATTTTATGGGGAAGGCGTGGTCGAATGGTAGAGAATACGACTGCTAGCCCGAAAGTCTCAAGCCCGAATCCGGGTTCATATCTATTAGTCCACCCATCCCACGTTTGACTCACTTAGGGAAAGTAAAGGCAGCTAAGTAGTGCTGACCACACTATCTCATATGCAGAGGTTACATAAAACAGGTGAACTCTTCTTTACTTACCCCATGGATCGTCAAGTTCTAATGAAGCCTAATCCCTAAAACAAATGTCATTTAAGTAAAAAAAAAACGTTTTTTTAAAAAACTCAGTCTATCACATTTACTTTTATTTTTACAAATGTACATACTAATCTATTTACATACAACTAAACATGTTAACAATGACAATTTTCTGCCTTTCATAAGTAATGACATTATGACTTCCTGAATAAAAGTTCCGGTTTCCATTTGTTGTCAGATAGTCGATTTTGTTAATGCTCATTTGCCTGCAGTGGTAAGTATAGTTCTTTACAATATTGCTGAAAATTTAAACAAATTACATTGTTTTCATTGTAACAAGTGAGTACTATAAATATAAACACTACAATGATATCTTTATTTCAGAGTGTAGCGAAGGGTGGGTGGGTGGGGTGGCCGAAGAAAGGGGTGGGGCATCTCATTCTGAGCTATATTACTAAATTTTAATCAAAGTTAAGAATATACACTACTGCTTTGCTTTCCTGACTGATTTAACTATTTTCTATATAACTTTTGTCATTTTAATAAAAGCTGTAAAGGGACAATGATAAGTAAAAGGCGTCCCCACCCTTTACCAGTAGACAAACAGACAGACAGACAGACATTCCCATATAATCTTTTTTCCAAAAACATAGCTTCGCCTACTCTGGTTCTAATTTGTGGAACAATCTTCCTAATAAAATAAAGCTATCTAGATCTGAAAATATATTCAAATCTAAACTAAAACTACAATTATTTAATGACCTCTCTAACTGACTCATTGTAACATTTCTCATCCATCTATTATATTCTCTTTTTTATCTCATTTTGTATTATAACTATGTAACATTATTTCTTTATTCTACATTTTTAGTGCTATGTTACCGCTATGTGTTATTGAATTGTTTTATTTGTTTAAACGGCCAATGTGAAAAAAGACAGACAGACAGACAGACAGACAGACAGACAGACAGACAGACAGACAGACAGACAGACAGACAGACAGACAGACAGACAGACAGACAGACAGACAGACAGACAGACAGACAGACAGACAGACAGACAGACAGACAGACAGACAGACAGACAGACAGACAGACAGACAGACAGACAGACAGACAGACAGACAGACAGACAGACAGACAGACAGACAGACAGACAGACAGACAGACAGACAGACAGACAGACAGACAGACAGACAGACAGACAGACAGACAGACAGACAGACAGACAGACAGACAGACAGACAGACAGACAGACAGACAGACAGACAGACAGACAGACAGACAGACAGACAGACAGACAGACAGACAGACAGACAGACAGACAGACAGACAGACAGACAGACAGACAGACAGACAGACAGACAGACAGACAGACAGACAGACAGACAGACAGACAGACAGACAGACAGACAGACAGACAGACAGACAGACAGACAGACAGACAGACAGACAGACAGACAGACAGACAGACAGACAGACAGACAGACAGACAGACAGACAGACAGACAGACAGACAGACAGACAGACAGACAGACAGACAGACAGACAGACAGACAGACAGACAGACAGACAGACAGACAGACAGATAGACATGTGGTTATTAGGTGCAGGCAACTCAATGTTCGAGATAACAAGCTTCTAGACGGAGTTAAACACAAACGTTTTTGATCGGGAGTTCGTGTGTGACGAAGAGGTGGAGTATAGTTAGACATAGTGACAGAATGGTTTATGTGGCGTAGTGCAGCACATATAATCGGTTAAGTTCGTCTTCCAGTAAACAATATCAAATTAAAAAACAAAAAACGAGAAAGACAATCGGTCAAAAATTATTGTCGGCACTCATTATAGCTACAAGAGTTTAATGAAAGGTATTGATGAATGAATGGATGATTGAATTGATGGACGCATGAAAGGATGGATCGATGGACGAATGGATGCATGGACGAATGGATGGATGGACTGTAAACAAAACAAAAGAAACTATGATGTATTATAATTAGTTTTAATTAGAATGTAAGAACAAAATAAATGAAGCCGCTTAATCACTGTTTTATCGGAACGGCAAAGCTTCAATTCATTCTAAAATTCAACGCTGACAATAGTTTGCTCTAAAATAAAAATAAAAACACAATAAATTATATATGTATATATATATAATATATATATATATATATATATATATATATATATATATATATATATATATATATATATATATATGTGTGTGTGTGTGTGTGTGTTTTGTGTATTTTGAGTATTGCAACAAAAAAGAAAATTTACATGCATCTTAGATTTGGTTTGCAGCATGTTCGGTATTTACCACCACAAGATGCTAGGGCTGGTTTGCAGCTGAAAGTAAAATAAACCGGGAGTAATCTCCCCTAAACTTTCTCGAATAATTTTATATAAAAAGCAGGGAATGGGAACTCGGGATATAGACATGAATTTTAATACATTTTAAATACTTAAAATTTTTAAAGTAGAATAAAATCTCGAAGAAAAAATAATTGCACACCAGTGAACGCCAAATAACTTGTGCATAATAATACTTCATTAATTTACATGCGATTTATGAGAAATTGGAAATAGCGTAAATTACTACTTCCGTTCAAGTTATAGGCTTTTGAAAATTTCAAAGTAAAAAAAGAACCACTTCCGGTTATCGGAAATCGCTCAAAAGTTGGTACTGATGTACGATAATAATAAAATACTTATATTTGAAATTTAATCAACCTAGCTGTTACGGTACTCAAGTTATCTTGTTTACAGACACACAGACACACACATACACACAGACATACGGACAAGATTCCAAACTTATGTTTTTCCGTATCAGTGAGGTGTAAAATGTCGAGATTTCCAAAAATCTCGATTTTATTTTTTGCACGATTACAAGACTTTCTTTATAGGCCTACTTCGTATATACGAGAAAGTAAATAAACCGGGAGTGATTTCCCCTAAACTTTCTCGAATATTCTAATATAACACTACGTGGGATGGCAACTCTGAATATAGACATGATTTTTATTTACTTAAACTTTTAAAAGTAGAAAAAAATCTAGGAGAAAAAAGAATTAGCGCACCAAGCGAACGCCAAAACAAAATGTGCATAATAGTGCGCAATATTATTAGTACTTTATAAATTTACATGCGCTTTTTGTGAAATCGGAAATAGCGTAAATTAGTACTTTCGGTCAACGGAAAATACTCAAAATTTTACAGAAGGTAGAGGATTAGATCTTTTACTTACATGTGAAATTTTATTTATCTATTTAAAATAGTACTCAAGTTATAGGCTTTTGAAAAATTCAAAATAGAAAAAGTATCGGAAATTGCTCAAAAGTTGATACAGATCTACGATTTTAATAAAATACTTATATATGAAATTTCATCAACCCAGCTGTATCGGTACTCAATTTATCGTGTTTACAGACAGACAGACAGACAGACACACACACAGACATACGGACAAGACTGCAAAATTATGTTTTTCCGTATTAATGAGGTGTAAAACGTCGAGATTTGTAAAAATCTCGATCTTTTTTGCACGATTACAAGACTTTCTCTATACCGCGTATATACCCGCGTATATACGAGTAAGTAACAAAAAATGATTGAATCTGTTAGCCACTAACTAGGGACATTTGACATTTGATTGAATATGTTAGCCACTGGTAATTCAAATCAGATAGACATTTATGCTCCTGCTAGTATGGCAGTTTGTAGAACGGTGTGGTCTGGCCACCCAGCTCTGATAATTACCTTGGAAAAGTAAAGGCGGCTGCGCATAGTGCTAACCACACCATCTCTTCATATGCCGAGATCCCAGAAACAAGTGAACTCTACTTCACTGCCCCAAATACCGTCAGGTTTGGAAGAGGAATTTTACTTTACTTCTAGTAAGGGACAATCTAATTTTACTTTCTTTAGGCAAACATTAGCGGCCGCTTAATAAGTTGTTAATTTTATAAAGTTTAGTAACGTATACTTTTTAAAAAATCGTAATTTAATTTTTCATTATTTGGGCTTAGAAGTGTCAATTAATAAACCGGGAGCGATCTCCCCTAAACTTTCTCGAATATTCTTATATAAAACAACACCAACATGGGATGGCAACTGGGGATATAGACATGATTTTTAATCAATTTTTAATGACTTAAACTTTTAAAAATAGAATAGAATCTCGTAGAAAAAAGAATAGCGCACCAAGTAAACGCAAACAAAATGTGTATAATAGTGCGGAATATTATTAGTACTTAATAAAATCACATAAAGTTTTTGAGACATAAATTACTACTTCCGATCAACAGAAATTACTTAAAATTTGACAGATGGCATAGAATTAGATCTTTCACTTATGTGTGAAATTTAATTTATCTTTCTGAAATATTACTCCAGTTATAGGCTTTTGAAAAATTGAAAGTAGAAAAAGTTCCACGTCCGGTTATCGGAAATCACTCAAAAGTTGATATGGATCTACGATTATTATATAATACTTATAAATGACATTTTTATCAACCTAGCTGTATCGGTACTCAAGTTATCGTGTTTACACACACACACACACACACACACACACACACACACACACACACACACACACACACACACACGCACACGCACACGCACACGCGCACGCACACGCACACGCGCACGCGCACGCGCACACGCACACGCACACGCACACGCACACGCACACACACACACACACACACACACACACACACACACACACACACACACACAACCACACACACACACACACACACACACACACACACACACACACAGAGAAATGCGGACAGAATTGCAAAGTCAATTTTTTTCCGAATGGATTAGGCATAAAAAGCCAAAATTTTGTTATAAGATTTGCCCGATTAAAATAAGTCCTCTATACTCCGGATGTGATGAAGGACTGAGGTGTAAAGCGGTGAAAACTTTCAACATTTCATGCGATCTTTGTGCACAATTACAATACTTTCTTTATACGCTGTATACACGGCATCTAGTTGTAAACAAACAGAACATTTTTACTATTAAAATCAATCTTTGAAACACAAATTTAAAAATGAAGTTTATTAATTAAAGAAGAATACACTTACGTGCCCTGAATGCCCCAGGTTCGATGGCCGCCGAGGATAAAAAAAAATTTGACATCATTGTATTGAGGGTCGGGTAGGAATCAGTATTGGATACATATAAAGCTATATGAAAACACGAACAATTGTTAGCACTTTCAATTTATTTTAACCGCTATAAACAGCCACACTAAAAACTGCTGTATCATACAAAAAAGAGTCTGCATGGTCATGGTTACAAAACCGAAAAGTCTCGAGTTCGAACCGTCGTGAAGATGAGGCTTGTTAGCTGGGGTCAGCCACTCTTCTAGGAGAGACAACGTTACAGGTCTATTTATTTGGCAGGGCGTTGGTATTGGTTTCTTTTTACAAGCTATTATTTAACTCGCTTCCTCTGTCTGTCGTCAGCCGTTAGTCTGTCTAGATCGAAACGCCCGAGCGAAATTACTGGCAATTCTTACTGATAGATACGGTTCGTAGTTGGCACGTGGGTAAAGACATAAAGACAATGCAACATGACATAAAATTTGACAAAATAGATGCCTAATTAATTTTTTTATGAATAAATAAAAATTTTGACCAAATTTGTAGGCAGTTTTATCCAACTGCTCCACACGCGTCATCACGTTCAATAGATGAGCAATGGTTTTTAGTCATGTAACTCTATTGTAAATAAAAACATCTAAAGTCCTAAAAAAGAATAATAAAAAAACGTTTTAATTTAAAGAAAAGCGTGGGTCTCTTCCTAAATATTAGTAAAGGTATCCAATAGATACTAAAGTGACCCACGATTTTCTTTATAGTTATTTAAATAGTAGTGTATAATTTATTTTCTCCTTTTTAGTGCATTATTTCATAAAATCTTGTTATTAAAACGTTTTTTTATGAAAAAAAATTTCTTCCATTTCTGAGATCTTTTACTTTTATGAAATTTCACATCATAAAATATTTTATTATATATTTATTTTAAGTTTTGCTAAAACAAATGATTTAAGAACAATAACATAACAATACTCAGTGAAATGTAGTAGTAAGCCAACGAGCTAGTACATAGTGAGATATAGATAATAGACATATAAGCAGTGAGGTAAGTGACTAATGAATTATTACAACAGTGGCGTAGCTAAGGGAGTGTTGGGCAGGCGCCCCGGGCGACGATCTAAAGGGTGCGCCAAAGGAGTGTAAAAAATAATTTAAAAGTTATTTTAAGCTGAAGTATTGAAACATACACATCTAAAGTTAAGAAAATAAACGACTACAAGGCTTTACAAACATTTCAAACTGGAGGGGGGGGGGGAGGGGGGCGCTTTTTCACAGACAGGAATAACTATATATAAAAATGGGAGAGAGGGGGCGCAAAGTTGATAGTCAACCCCGGGCGCCGGAGTAGGTCACTACGCCTCTGGCTAATTATTTTTTAAGTAATGAGATTAGGGGTTGCTAAAAAAATTTATTGATTTAACAGTAGTGAGGGAAAGGGTTGTCAAACATTCTATTGCCTTGAATGTCGTGAGATTAAGTAGCTCACCTGTGAATTCATCAAACAAAAATTACAAAGCGATTTAAAATTTGAACGTTTAGAAATAACGTCTACAAACTTATTTTCTTTTTAGAATAAACGGTGTGAAAAAAACGAAGAGGCATTTTATATAATCTGAACAATACAATGTTTCTATTTAATTTTAGTCGAATAAACATCAGTTAGTGTTTTGTTTTACTTTTTAATATACAAATATAGAGGAAATGTTATTAACATGGAATAATTGTGTATTTGATATGTTTCATTGTGCTCATCATAACATTCCGCTTGCTTATAATATTTATAATATTATTTTTATTTAATCTCAAATTTACTTCAGCTCTACTCCAAAGCCCAAACCCCTCAACCCATTAGCCATTGGAAAAGAATCCCTTGAATCACCATTTAATTACACATTTGCATTTTCAGGTTAAAAAAAAATTGTGAGGTATTACTATTGTAAATTTGTACCAGTCTTCACAAGCCGATAATGATAACTGTAATACTAAAGTAAACACGTCTTGTATGTCTGAGGCATACAAAATATAAAGGAAGTGTTGTAATAGTTTATATAAAATAAATGAAATTTTGAAATATTTTTTGTTTCACACCTTCTAACTTTTTTGTGTACATGGAATACAAATGATGTATAATAATTGTGCAAAAATCTAAATCGAGATCTTGACAAATTTTGACGTTTAATAACATTTCGGAGACGGAAAATATAATTTTAATACAAACATGTGTGTGTGTGTGTGTTTGTCTATAGAAAGGATAAGTGCCGTTTTATTTATGTCAACGAAATTTCATAAACAAGCATTATATCAACTTTTTTGTTTTCTCTCATCTTTTGAGCGATTTTCGGTAAACCGCTACTGATCATTACTCTACTTTCGGTTTTCAAAAGGCCCATAATTTGATTACCATTTACGTTAAGTGGACCAAACTTAACATATATTATTATTCGATTGTATGTGCATGTATCTATCAATGTTTGAATGGTTTCGTATAACCGCAAGTGGCATTTTACCCTATTTATGTGAGGAACACGATAACTTAAGTACACTTTCAGTGTGGTTGGCGAAATTTTAGGGCTTACAAAATCAGTAAACAAATTAGTAAACACAATGACGTTTTCAATTTAAAAAGTATTGAGATTTTTCCACCTTAAATTAAATACAACCATCACCATTTTTATTGGTTTAAACATTACACAATCTGATTTACGTATCACGGCCGCAATTTTCTGATAGGCCTACGAATGCAAAAAGTGCCTAGGCCGTACAAAGATCATGAAACGACCCTGCACCCCACCCCATTAATTATGTCCCAAGATTAATTTCCCACATGTACTTATCCCCACCGAGTTGCAGTAGGACATCTCCTCCAATCAATTACTCACCCATCAATAGAGGATCGGGGGGAGGGGGGGTAGTTCAAGAAATAGGTTACGTATAGATTATAGGTATAGGTATTTGAATATGTTAGTTTATGTTTATTGTTATGCTTTTACTCAGGTTTATGTTTCTTATATGTTTGTATTTATGTTTTGAGTCTGTAGTGAGGATTATGGTATATGTTAATGTGTTTATGTTTGAGGTTATGTTTTTCTGTATGTGGTTTTTTAAGCGTAGAAGTGTGAGGAGTGGAAAATATTTATGTGTATGTCTGTTTGTTTATGTTTGTGGTTGTGGTTGGTTGTGATAGAGGTAGTCTTAGAGTTAGGTTTAGGATCATATATGTTTCCTAAAATGTCGTTATTTGCATTTAGATATTAATTAGAAATTTAATATAGTACCAAAAACCCGGAAAGCGCCGGGTTTATGCTGCTAAAAAACACACAATTCACGTTTCTTTACAGATTTTTTTTTTACAAAAGCCACTGCTGTATCGGACCGGGACAGCTAATTCTAGTTTATGAATTGCATTATTAAAAAAATTAATAAAAACATTTCATTTATCCGACTGCATCCCAGATACTGTTTAAGGAGCTATTGTCAATATTTTAAATTGGTAGAATCTATTTTGAAAAAATCAAAACAAAACAAACACCATCACAATATTATTTTCTAACGTTAGTAGTAGGTAAAAAAAATATATATATATTTCTCACCTTCAGACCCGATGGTAAAAGCGACTACCAAACTCAGAAATAAGCTTGTAGATAATTTCATCTTGTCAACTGTTTTCTTCACTGTAATCACGACCGACCTCCTTCAGTGTGATCTAATGTTCAACAGGTGTCCACATTAAGTACTCTATTTCAACGTAATCCCCACAACTAGACGTGCGTGTTAAGTGACGCTAGTGCTATTTTTTAGGACGCGGTTAGTCTTTCTGACTCAGTGTCTTTCCGTCAGTGCTTCAGTCGGTTTCTTCAGCGGTACGACTGTCCGTTGTTCCATGTGTTTGTCTGTCTTTTCGTGTGTCTGTCTGTTTATCTATCAAACTATCTTTCTTTCTTTCTGTATGTTTGTCTACTTGTATGTGTGTCTCTTTGTATTTTTGTCTGTTTTTATGTCTGTTTCTCTGTTTACCTGTTTGTCTCTATTTTTCTCTATCTCTCCGTTTGTTTTTCAATGTTAAACTGATCGATCTAGAACTTAATTTAAAATTTAATTTAATTTCAATTCTTTTCTTAATCTCCTAGATATAATTGGTTTTAAAATAAATGGTATTAGAAAGCATTTACCGTAGAAATGTTTTCAAACACCTTGGTAATTTCAAACACAATTTGTAGTTGACAAACTAAAAGTTCGAATGCGGAAACGGACAGACAGACAGACAGACAGACAGACAGACAGACAGACAGACAGACAGACAGACAGACAGACAGACAGACAGACAGACAGACAGACAGACAGACAGACAGACAGACAGACAGACAGACAGACAGACAGACAGACAGACAGACAGACAGACAGACAGACAGACAGACAGACAGACAGACAGACAGACAGACAGACAGACAGACAGACAGACAGACAGACAGACAGACAGACAGACAGACAGACAGACAGACAGACAGACAGACAGACAGACAGACAGACAGACAGACAGACAGACAGACAGACAGACAGACAGACAGACAGACAGACAGACAGACAGACAGACAGACAGACAGACAGACAGACAGACAGACAGACAGACAGACAGACAGACAGACAGACAGACAGACAGACAGACAGACAGACAGACAGACAGACAGACAGACAGACAGACAGACAGACAGACAGACAGACAGACAGACAGACAGACAGACAGACAGACAGACAGACAGACAGACAGACAGACAGACAGACAGACAGACAGACAGACAGACAGACAGACAGACGGACGGACGGACGGACGGTCGGACGGACGGACGGACAGGCAGACAGACAAACAGACAGTCAGTTAACAAAAATGAGTTCCATAAATCGTGTACTTTACCTGTTTTACGTAAGCAGCAACAAAGTAGAACAAAGTAGAACCAGCAGCCAGACGCCCAGCCCATAGACATGATATAAAACAAGCTTGCTCAGTATGTTGGTGTGTGTAAGTGTTTGTGT